TTCGTCACATAAAGAGGTGCCACGACCCCACAGTGACAGATTCGACCGTAGGTCGAAATTCGCCCAAAGCAGTTTCTAGAAGCGATAAAAACACAGGAAAAGACAACAGGTGATGTTTTTAAACTTTATTTCACATTATTTACAACTTTTCGAAAGAAAAGTGAAAATTATTTTCGATCGAATTTCAGCTCCATAAAAACTCTTATAAGACGCTTTGGTGACCTGTGCTTTTACTCGAAAAATTTGGAGTTCGATCGCGGGATATGGCATTATTTTAAATTCGTTGGTGGTTTTTAAACTGCATGGTTTTCTGACCCAAGAACTTTAAATTTAAAAATGCATTTTTTATTTGTTTATTAACACATTGACTACTAAAGCGGCCATAAACGGCCAAGAAGAGACCACAGACTTGTACCACTTGTGACGTCATCACTGTTCACGCCAGAGGATGTCTTTGATAATCAACGGATAGAGTTGGCAAATGTCTGACAAAGCATACCTAAACGAGCACGAAACATTAAATTGGACCAGAGATACACACGAAACAACTTGGATTTTTCCCTCCAAAATCACCAAAAAACGCGACCTTCACTACCATTGGCACTCTTTGTCAAAAAAATTCCCTTTTCCCAACGTTTAGGCTAAAACTTTTTCAACGTGAACAAAGACGACTGAAAGGCCAACAAAACCACAAAATAAAATGAGAGAAAAAGGAGAGCAAGAACGGCAAAAAAAATAAAAGGAAAAGAAAAGCCTAAAGTCAGGTGGGTTTTTCAAACCCAAAAACGAAAACGAAAACGTCGAAATTTTGATTTCTGCGCATGCCCGAGAAAAATATTGAATTCGTCGCTTCTACGTAAAAGGGGATGTTAGTTGCCGTGTTTTAAACCAAGTTTTAGACAGTTTTATTGACGTTTTTTGGAAAAAGCTCAGTAGTCAATGGGTTAAAGTCATGATTTCGCCTCATTTTTGTGGCTAGAAGAAAATGTCTGCATAATTAAATGAATGAGTCAGTTGTACACAATAAAAAAGCTTTTTACTGTGGTGGTGGTGGTGATTATTTTTTGCTTCAGAAATCTGTATAATATTTTTTGAAGCCGGTCATTTTCTTAGAAACGTCTCGAAAGGTCGACCAAAATTCCCAGAAATCGGCCGCGCACTGGACATCACTTGTATTCTCTCATTCTTACACAAGTGGATCGTTCATTCGCTGCGATCGTAATTTACTGAAGCTGTACAACTGGGCATGAATCCACTAACCATTTGGTTATAGGCTTGGAGGGCTTGTTATATTCAACGAAACGAAACGAAATGAAACGAAATGAGTATGTTTGGTGGTTATATTTGATTTGAGGAATATATTCAGACTGGTCATGTTCGTTTCGATTATCACTTTTCATTTCGTCGAATATCACTTTTTGTTTTCAGGTGTTTAGCTATCAACACGCGGGTTGAATTGTGTGCTTGCGATTTCCCGCCGTGTGTAAGAGTTATACAACACCGTCTCAACCCAGTCCAAGTCCATGTAAGTCGCTACAACAAGTTCGTTTCGTTGATTATCACTTTTCGTTTCGTCGAATATCACTTTTTGTTTTCAAGTGTTTAGCTATCAACACGCGGGTGACGGTGTTGTGTAACTCTTAAACACGGCGGGAAATCGAAAGCCGACACAATTCAACCCGCGTGTCGATAGCTAAACACTTGAAAACAAAAAGTGATATTCGACGAAACGAAAAGTTTCGACCAGTCGTATCAACGAAACGAACTTGTTGTAGCGACGTACATGGACTTGGACTGGGCCAGACGGTGTTCCCACACGGCGGGAAGTCAAAACACACAATTCAACATCGTGTTGATAGCTAAACACCTGAAAACAAAAAGTGATATTCGACGAAATGAAAAGTGATAATCAACGAAACGAACATGACCAGTCTGAATATATTCCTAAAATCAAATATAACCACCAAACATATTCATTTCGTTTCATTTCGTTTCGTTTCGTTTTTCGTTTCGTTTCGTTTCGTTCGTTTCGTTTCGTTTCGTTTCGTTTCGTTTCGTTTCGTTTCGTTTCGTTTCGTTTCGTTTCGTTTCGTTTCGTTTCGTTTCGTTTCGTTTCGTTGAATATAACAAGCCGCTTGGAGGCTTCGGAAAGCTTTAAAGTGTATATGACAGATATTTTTTTATTTGCTTGATCGAATCTACATAGGATCCTGATATGAACATCGAAGAAAAAAAATCCCATATCGCTTTTCTTCACCGCGTTTTAGCCGTCTAAAGACGTGAAATTTCATTTCCGGTTAGGTAAAAAGCCGAGCGAGGTGGAGTCCTGGACCGAGTAGGTCGTGACGTCAAAACCAGAACGCCTTCGACAACCACGCAAAGACAGCGAGGAGTTTCGTGGCTTGTAGTGTGTATAACCAGATATATTTTAGTTCAAATTTTGTCTAGAATCGTCAAAACCTACACAAAGTTATGTCTACTGATGATTTTGAGTTTGGGAGCGATTCTGAGCGATCAGACGCATAATTCAGTGTTTCTTCGACTGTTGATGAAGTTGAGTGCGATGAGTTTATACAGGTTTATAGAAGCAGCAGCAGACAACTCAGACCCAGAAGGTCCTTACGATGAGTGGCTTCAAGAGTACATGTATACCGCTAGTAGATAACCAGGGGCACCCAACGACAAAATTTTCTTGTAGGTGTCGGAACGTTGTTTTTACGTTATAATTGTGCTTTTTGTGCTGTTTAATTGCTTATTTTAATCGCTAAGAAAAATGTTTCTTTTCGGATACGTTAGCTGAACTTTCAAACATCAGAAAATTTTAGGGATTGAACTCTTATTACCCGAATTTACGAGCTGAATTTGCCTTTCCGAAAATCCTAGCTAACATTTTTTGTACCCAAAACGACATTTTTATCTCTCCGAAAACAAAAGGCATTAATTTCCCCATATTACGAAAGTTTGAGATGACATTTCCCTAACCGAATATCTGAGGCGATTATAGGCCTTCCGAACAGATATTCCACCGAAACGATCCGTTGGGTGCCCCTGGATAACGACAGCGATATAATTTCTCATTCTGAAAGAACGTGAATTTCGGAGCCCGGACATGCTGGAAATGCGTGTGTAAAAATAACATTGTTTGTTTACACAATTGCGCTGTTTGAATCGAAATGAGTTGAACCGATTTGTAATAAGCTTTTTAAAATTCGCTTGTACATGTAGTTCTCGTTAGCTTATCTTACGTTTTTCCCTTTTCGAGGACTGTTCATGAGGGGCGAAGCGAGCAGCAACTTGCGAAGCGGCGAGCGACTTTGAAATCGAATGGATTTTTAGCACGAAGATCGCGGCACGCTCCAAATGTAAATAGTGTCACAGAAGCGGTCACGACTAAACAAGAGGTTTTTTTCCTTTTTTTCGCTCCTAAAGGTATTTTGTTTTGAATTTTGATTTCAGTGTCTGTTGTCCTTGCGGAAGAAGCATCAACTGCACAATCTTCGGTAGAGGCAGACCAATGTGCACAATGTGATATGTGGATAAATAAAGTTACTATCGCGAGCCCAGCGTCGAAAAATTATTCAGAACTGAGCGAAAACGTTACCGGACAAAAATGGTTCTGAATCACAACTCCGGTTTTCTTAAAGATAAATTATTCCTCTGCCTCCCAAAGTAAACCACTGTTGACTGAGAAACTACTAGTCAGACTAGTGAGAGCTTATGAAAAGCGATTCAGGCCAAGTCATCACAACAGCGCATTGAATGAAAATCACGCAGCTGTTGTTTCTGACTTGTCTGGGACTCCGGGACATAATTGCTCCATGAAACATTCTTTCTAAAGATGAATAAGAAACTCTATCAAATTCAATGACCATTTTTCTTAAATACCTTTAGGAGCGAAAAGAAGGAAAAACCTTGTTTAGTCGTGACCGCTTCTGTGACACTATTTACATTTGGAGCGTGCCGCGATCTTCGTGCTAAAAACTCCATTCGATTTCAAAGTCGCTCGCCGCTTCGCGAGTTGCTGCTCGCTTCGCCCCTCGTGAACAGTCCTCGAAAAGGGAAAAACTCAAGATAAACTAACGAGAACTACATGTACAAGCGAATTTTAAAAAGCTTATTACAAATCGGTTCAACTCATTTCGATTCAAACAGCGCAATTGTGTACACAGACAATGTTATTTTTACACACGCATACACACGCATTTCCAGCATGTCCGGGCTCCGAAATTCACGTTCTTTCAGAATGAGAAATTATATCGCTGTCGTTATCTGCTAGCGGTATACATGAACTCTTGAAGCCACTCATCGTAAGGACCTTCTGGGTCTGAGTTGTTTGCTGCTGCTTCTATAAACCTGTATAAACTCATCGCACTCAACTTCATCAACAGTCGAAGAAACACTGAATTATGCGTCTGATCGCTCAGAATCGCTCCCAAACTCAAAATCATCTGTAGACATAACTTTGTGTAGGTTTTGACGGTTCTAGACAAAATTTGAACTAAAATATATCTGGTTATACACACTACAAGCCACGAAACTCCTCGCTGTCTTTGCGTGGTTGTCGAAGGCGTTCTGGTTTTGACGTCACGACCGACTCGGTCCAGGACTCCACCTCGCTCGGCTTTTTACCTAACCGGAAATGAAATTTCACGTCTTTAGACGGCGAAAAGCGATATCGATGTTCATATCAGGATCCTATGTAGATTCGATCAAGCAAATAAAAAAATATCTGTCATATACAACTGTAAGATATCGTATAAAATCAATGCGGAAGACATTCTTCGCTTAATTTGTGGATCTATATGGATCAGCTTGGATCGCTAGACTCTTTTCAGTGTATGTAGTTTTAATGTATTCGGCGAGTTTTTTCGCGATTTTGATGACATGATAAGTCCTTCAACATGGCCGCCAATACTTTTGTGACGTCACACCACACACACGCTGTAGGTCTCTTTTAAATTAGAATATGCACCTTATAATAAAACAACTTAACAACAGCGGCCTCTGTAGCGTAATGGATAACGCGTCGGCCTCCTAACCCGGAGTCTGAAAGACAGCCGAAGATTGCGGGTTCGAGTCCCGTCGGAGGTGTTCTTTTTTTCTTTTTTTTTCTCGCTCAGAAAATTTATTTGCCAAAAATGTGTCAAATGTTTTATAAGAAAAAGACTAAATTAAAGGAAAAGTTGAAAAAAAATGGAAGATCACGGGTTCAAGGTCCCGAAAATCTGTGTGACGTGAGTGTATTTAAAGTTTACTTGAGGGTTTTCAGGGCTCAAACATCTTCAGGACTCGAAGCTGTACTTTACTTAGACTGCGAGCAGTCCCTCTTTCTTTCCGATAGCGAGGAGAGAGCGGAAAATCGAACGCGAAGCGCGAGCGAGCGGAAGTTAGGCACGAACTTCGTGACTCACTTCCGCTCGGCCCATTTCCCGCTCGCTCGCGCTTCGCGCTCGATTTCCGCTCTCTCCCTCGCTTTCGGAAGAGGGACTGCTCGCAGTCTATACAATACTTGAAAAATATTAAGAATCGATGGTGTGACGTCTTGGCCTTCTTGACATCGTTTCGGCTTGTGTTTGTGTTTGTGTTGAAAATTAAAATTATCCATATCACGGCCAGTTTAATTATTCCCGGTGAGTATCTAATCGAACGTTTTATAGTCCAGTTCTGTCCAGTTCTGGTTCCGAGAGCGTATAGAGAGGGCCAGAACTGGACTAGTTTGTCCGTTGAACTTAATTCTAAGTTGTTCTCACATGCTAAGAGAGACTGTTCAAATATCTTGTATATTTTGAGTCATTTTTAGCCGCATTTCGATTGGGTTCGATTGGGTTCGGAAGTCGAATGCAATCCTCACACAAATTTTTTGGTTCGATTTCGTTCGATTACCGAACTAATCGAACCCAATCGTTCGATTAAGTTCGATTAGGTTCGATTAAGTTCGATTACCGAACGGTTCGATTAGTAGCCGTATACCGATTACCGAACGCTTGCAACAGGCTAGGAAAATATAGCTTGATAGCTAGCGTCAGTATTTTTAAACAAAAATTTCTAATTCCGCTTTCTATTACTGAAAGTGAACCGATTTTTTAACAAAATTATTACAAGGGGTCAGACAGAGGATTGAAATGGTACATAAAACGGCCCATAAAGTTCAGCCAGGGTTCAGCGTACAAGTAGGTCGCTTCAATGAAATTTGGATTATTCTGATCTTTATCGAAGCTTTGCCGTGATTCGTGTTATTAAATAAACAAGACAACATAAGACCTTTACCCTTTTAATATACAAGCTGAATGTTTACTTGTCTACTTACAGGCAATATACCCTTACTCTAGCTCGCTCAGGAGCATATCACCCGATATGCTACCCGATATGCTCCTGCCCATCTTTTGACCACCATATACAGCTGTTTCGAGAAAGGTTGTCGGAAAAAAGCGCTCGCGACAATCCCGAAAGGTAATCTGGGATATGATCAGCAAGGTACGTTCCTGACACTAGCTGTCAAACCTACTTTTTTTTGCTTTCTTTTAGCACTCGCAAACATACGTCCATGGCGTCTCGTGCCATTTTCTCAGATTTCCCTGAAATGCTGAAGTCAAGGAACCGTGAACTTAAAACTGCCCACAAAACCTTTCGGGATTGTCACGTGCGCTTTTTTCCGACAACCTTTCTCGAAACAGCTGTATGTACTGTTCCCCCATCGCCATTGACTATTCGGCCCGGCCCCTAATCTGCAGAATTTTATTACTTGACTTGAAAGTGACCATGATATTGTTGAATATCAGGTCAGTGACTTGATATCGTGGGATATCAGGTCAGTAGATAGAGCTTCTGATTGGCTAATTCCGAATTTGGGTACGGTAATACGACAAATTTGTCGGTGTTTTTAACAGAACATTCTTGAATAAATTTGACGAATTTTATCAGTAAGTTATAGAAACGGCACAGTCTGGTAGTTAGTTTATATTTACGCTCTGGATTGAGTTGGTGCCTTTTATGATCTCGGAAGTTCGTTCTTGTTTAACTGTAAACATTTTTATACGCATTTCGATAGTTTATCCAACTTTATCGGCTCAATAAACCATGCAGAATGTTGCCGTTAGAACTGACTAGATAAGCGATTGTAAATCATGAGCTCGGGAGATTACCACCCCCTTCTAGCGCGGTGTTTCAGTTAGCAAGTTGAATGAAGAGCTCGGGAGATTACCACCCTCCAATTTCACTGTCTCGGTCGCGAACAAACCGCCCTAACAAAATTGTCTGAATTTTGTAATCAATCACAAATAAAACCTGTTTTCACGCGATATTTTGTTGCCCATACATGTATGTTATAAAAGAATTGGTTCATGCTTTAGCTGTGCGTATATCGAGTTATGGATGCACGCGGGAAGTTTGGAGAGCACTCGTGAAGCTAGAGTTGCTCGAGGCGATTACGCTTCTCTCGTGCTCTCCAAACTAACCATGAACCAATTCTTAAATATTCCAGTGTCCGATACCCTTTCATATTTCTAATAGTCGGTTCGTTCAGTTGACTAGGCACATGAAACAACCCACAAGCCATTACTATATTGCGGATTCCTCACTCACAATAAATGCTTATTGGCTGGCTATAAACTTGAATCATCGAAAGAGCGGAGAACACAGTCCCCGTGACCATCGCAGCAAAACCAATCACGACGACAGCAGTATCCACTACAATATTACACCATGTCATGTGCTGCCAATATATCTTCAGATGAAACAGCGGCGGGAAAATGAACTCCAAGCTGATACCAGCTATACTGCCGACAAAGGCTAATAAATAAGTGTATGCAGGAAAAGTGGCGGCAAAAATGACACTGATAGATACCAGCGACAGACGAAATACAAGGACAGACGGACTAAAGATGGATTTACCGAAATTTCGTGGCAAGTAGGGAAGGTAGGAATTCTCAACGATTTCGAATATTGTGAACATTGGTAGCGTGTAGGATGTTAACGATAACACGGCCGCCATCACATTCACTGCTACTCGGAATGAACCTTCTGGCAAATTATTTGTTACAACCTCAGCTGTATCGAGTTGAAATGAAATATAAGCTACTACTCCAATGATAACATTAAGGAATGTCATTATCCCATACGATAAATTCATCAGCGAATTGAATTTGTCTTTATAGCGCATGCTACCTTCGATGAGTGGTACAAAAGGTTGTGATAGGTAACTTGCTACAAGGATTCCTAGAGCAGATGGATATGTACTGGCGTCAAAATGGTTCAAGGAGCTCAACTCCCATTTGTGAAATTGCGACAAGCTATAAGCGAACACTGTAATGAAAATGATTTTGGCAGACAACACTGTTAAGATGCTTGTCCATGCCACTTGAGAAAGGTTTTTAAGAAAAATATTAGGAACGAAGAGTACGCCGCCAATTAGCGTCCAAATCCAGCAAGGAGCGGTGACATGTGGAAAGGACTTGGCGAATAATCGTCCAACTAATAAAGGATAAACTGAAGCAACAAAAAGTAACTCTAGGAACTGAGTAGCGAGGACAAGATGACCGCCGATTTTTGGAAGGAATGCATTGCCAACATCTGCGTACGTATTGCGGACCCTGGTTTTTCTGCCTGTCTTGGAGTCCTTTTCATAAAGGCATCGAACAATAGTTTTTCCAGTGTAATTAGAAGCAGCGGCAACTAGTAACAGTGTCAGTATAGCTAAGCAACCACCGTTTCTGACTGCGTAAGGGATGACCAAAATTGGTAGCCCTTGAATTGTGTTGCTTATATTCCAAAATGTCTCAAATGTGGAGGCAAGATTTCCCTCTTCAAGTGAAATTTCGTTGCCATTTTTGTTGTTTTGATCCTCCGGGTCACAATCTTCCAAAAGGTTTATTTTGTCTTCTTCCAGCTTCTTTTGATGTTTTCCTTTCATTTTCTCTGTACCTTTGATGAGAATTCTATACATAACCTCGTATGGTAATTCTCAGTTTTTTTTTACCAGTCCGGCCCTTCTGATCGATCATGAGGTAATATTATTTTTCCTCGGAGGCTTAAAATCGTCCACAAATGAAACCATGAATTGCTGAATCTCAGAACTTTCAGTCGATCTTGGAAGCGAAGTCCATTACGAGTGCCACATGTCAAGTTTTGTGTTTGTTTTAACTTAACTTATTTTTCCATGCAGGGTTTCTTCGTCAGTCGGCCTGTTGTATGTCCTGGGAATACTGATAGAGGCACGCTCGGCAGTGTTGATCCGGCCAAAGCAGAAACCTCGAGACACACTACCAGAGTAGAAGGGTATGACGCCAGCCTCAATACAAACGTTTTACAATGAATTTCAATTCATTTCTCGTAATGAAAATTGCCATTGGATGGAAACCATGGTCACCTCCTTGATTATAGCAGTCTTGGCACTTTAATTTAACCTGTCATATTTGCATATCAATACAACCGATCATAGAGGCGAGGCAATTGGCACAAGCTGCAAAACATCGTGTTTTTAAACTATTTTAAAATGTAGAAGAACTACCATTTTTTCAGTTTACGTGCCTTCTAGAAAAAATTGTTCAACGAGTCTTTGCTGTTAATATAAGAGCAGATCCGCATAAGGAACGGAGAGCTCGCTTTACGAGTTTACGGCAAACTTAAACTAAAAGAGATGTATACGTTGTTCTTCACAGTTTTAAAATTGTTTGTATGCTAATATTCAAGAAGCTCACGAAAATGACGATGTTTTTACAGTTTGTGTCCGAAATTGCCTTAACTATATTCAGAAGCCTATCACCTATATTGTTATGCAAATATAATAAGTTAACCGTAAAAAGGGATATTGTTTCGCCGAACTCGGAAGCCTCGCGCGTTTTTATTTCTTATTTCGGTCTTTTATTTTATTCTGGGCTCAAAAATCAGCCGCAAAGACTGATGTAAAAATAAATCCAACAAACAAACGAACCATGTCATAGCAAGGGATATTTCAAATATATATTGTTGCTGAGAACATATTCCGCACAATCACAACTTGAAAGTGTATTCTGTGCAACTGTGGCAACTGTTGGCTTTCTCCAGAAATGTCATTAATTGAATCCAATAAAAAAATATATAAAAATTCGCTTGGC